AAAAATTCACGAAAAAAAAAAAAAAAAAAAAAAAAAAATCATAAATTCTAGAAAAGTAATCCTAATTTCAAATACTGCCAAACAAGAGACTAAAGAACTAAACGGTATACAAATCACTTTCTGAGTGAGAAGTAATGATGTTTTAAGCAGTGGACTTCCAAATGCTTACCTGTACAAGAGCTGATGAAAAATGATTGCAATTTTTGTTTAGGAGGTGATACTGGTCACCCTTATATTCGTTACCAAGCTGTTCAACAATTTTCTGAATATCTTCTTGTGTGAAATCTGTAGAGCCAAGCCGGATTGTTTCTCTAGAAACAAAATTTAAAAAATCAAGTGAAAAGTGAGGTTTTTCATATATAAATAATAAACGAAATGATTGTTACAGAACTGTTCAATCCACTTCATAATCTATATCTAGCTGTCATAGCATCTGTATACACCTGCAGTAATATTTAACAGTGGTAAGACAAATATGCTAAGAAATATGTATGTGCGTGCCTGTGCATATTGGGAAAGAGTAGAAGCACATGTCAAAATCCATATTTTGTACTTTTGTACTCTTGTCTCGCCATGCATGTATACATCCATCCATACATATCCATTGGTGCAATACCAATAGCCTGCTGGACTGAATGTCCATGCCACAGCAGTACAGCATGTAAGACTAATCAATAAACAAATTAGCCAACAGTGTCTCCATACTGGCGTCCACCATTAGGTGCAAAAACCATTAAATCAAGTAACATGTTCAAATTGGATTTGCTCAATCAACAGACTAAATGTCATTATCATGAATATACATACTGACAGTCAATGAAAATTCATCATTTATTTGCCAAATAATATTTTAAGTTCCTTTGGCACATTAAGAAAATAACAGTTTTTGTGTGAAATATGACCCATTAATTTATTCAGTCACACAAGGTGAAATAAAAGTCAGAAAAGACCATTAAAAAAAGATCATTAAAATGCAAGGTCACGTGATCAAATCTCTTTGGTTCTGCCCAGCCTCTAGCATCCTCAGGGCCCGCAGTCGCTCTTCCAGTGTCAGACATGGCATCACAAAAGTTTTTTTGTCATGTGTCATACTAGATTTGGTGACTACCTTAAATAGGCTTAATTAATCACCATATATTGAACCTGATTAATTCACACCAATCAGGAAAAACACATTTTGTAACAGCTGATCACAAAATCAGCTGATCACAATTTCACCGAAGCAGAAATTTTAAACATCCGAGTGGTCAGCCCGCTCTCTTATGACCAAACAAATGCATTTGTACTCGTTTATATGGTTGGAATGGATTCTCGGTAAAAGGACAAGAGTACAAAAGTACAAGAAAGTTTTCTGATGCGTTTTCATTGACTGTCAGTATATATTCTCTTTGGTTCTATGCTGCAAACATGTTAAATAAAGCTGTATGGTTGGTAGATGTACAAGCCTCTAATATTTGGGATGCAAGATCAATGCAAGTGAGAAGAGGTATGCTCTAAGGTCCACATGCATTTCACAATAAACTAGTATCCATTAATGTTAGTACACCATGACCGGGTTAACGTGAAAGTAAGTACACTGATAGCACCCTTTTGTCTGGTAATCAAATCCTGCAATGCGGCCATCATTTCAGAAAGCAGTATTGAACTAATCAAACTGGTGGAAATATATTTTTTTCTGGTGTCATTACACAAAACTGACTGGCTGAGAGAGCAACATTGCCAAATGCAGACCTGAGAAGGCAATAAGTTACCCTAAGGCACAGCCCACAGACAACAAGATAGTCTTCAAGGGGCTGCACTTGGTCATATTGCCCATTGAGTCATCATGTTTTGAAGCATATCACATAATCTCTTAACAAACCAAACACAAACCAAACAAAGCATAAATATAATACCCAACATTTCTCATCTCCTGCACATTCCAATATTTGAATGAAACAACCTAAAACCTATATGGTTGCTGCTTCTTGAGGAAATTATTTCACAAAATATATTCTGTAACTTCTATATACTAGAATTATAAGTGTTTTATTGTTAATGCCTTTTGCACACAGAACTCAATCCCATTCTGCTTTAGTGGTATTCTGTGTCAGTTAGCATCAGTGCACATGGCTAGTCTATATAACAAAATAAATATCATAGGACACAATTTAGCTAATCAGAGCACACAAATTTATAATGGGGTACAACAAAGTCTGATTTCCTGACAATATTGCCAAGAACTTTCTGTTGACAAGATTGCCATCTTCATTAATCCATGATTAAAAATTTATGTCTATGGATGTCTATGGATATCCAATAAAAAAATGCAATATACTAGTAATGAAACACATTACAGACGCTACATGTAGATCCAATATCCTACTCTGAAGCTCTTAGGGTTATTGCGGGTTAAGGATTATAGTGATAAGACTGATAAGTAGGAATGAATATTATACAGAACACGAGAAGCGTAATACATCCGAGTTGATGAACTCAAGGAAAGGTCAATGAAGCATGGTATCACATGAAGGTGAATTATCATGTAAAAAGACAAAATGCTATCAAAGGGAGAAAAACAACAGGATCTGGTTGACGTCTAAAATTATATCATATTTTGTGTTGAGGCAAGATAGAAAATCAAAGTAGTCTTCAGGTTTTGCATCAAAGAAACTGACCTGAACAATGTCATTTTAACAAACTGTTTCATCTACTTGTTTTATTACATTCAGTTTTACTTTTGGTAGAGTTACTTACTTAAACTTGAAATGCTCTCCTAGTTCTTCTGCATCCTTTGGGGTAATGTCAAATATGCCACTAAATGGAAAGGGATGACCACCATAAGCATACTCTAGAAAAGAATAAAACAACTGTGGTCACATTTTCATTTTATAATATAACTTCCAGACTTGCAAGAAAAAAATAATTTTCATATATAGTCACTCTTGCAAAATCAGTACTTTTATGTGATAAAAGATGTCCTTTCACATACATCACATTATTGTGCAAAGAAAAATGGTTTTGTAACGGATTTTCAATAATTTTGATAAATCAGAGCTTTCAAGTAAATTTATTCAACACAGTTTGGCAAAGAAAACCACATACTTATCCCATAATTCATTTCATAAACAGAGTTGGTAACAAAATGTTAATATTCTCTATACTCAGTAACCTAAAGTAAATTTGCATCTCTACCTGTACCATACACCTCAATCCCAGAGTGGTAGACTCCTATACCAAGTGTAGAGGTATATTCATTAATCCAGTACTGAAATAAAAAGACAGTTATTACTTCTGGGTACGAATATGGTTCGATCAGGTTCATGGGCATTGATTTGTTCATGTATACATGTATGTTTGTCTGTTTGCTAGTGGACAAGCTATCTCAAATATTCAGGATAGAGCATTATTCCAGGGTAAACTAAATTACAACTGGGTCCCCAATATTTGCAAAAGAATATATCTTGCTGCTCGTGTATGCCCTTACGAAAAAGTCCTATAGGATCCTATAAGATCTTATAGGATCCTATAGGACTTTTTCGTTAGGGTGTGTAAAGGGTATATTAAGAAGTGCTCCTCCCACCTGATATGACCCTTTCCTCCAGTTACTCCCCTAGCTGATCATTTGCTTTTAACAATGTACATAGCCATATGATGGGAATTTGCAAAGAGAGTTTGTTGAGAGTGGTTTAAACAGGCTTAAGCTTGGTCCAAGAAGTTTTAAGTAGCCTAATCAGGGAATTATATCGGATAATTCCCTGGCCTAATTAAGCTTGGACCATGAACCTTAGGCCTGGTTTTGAAACACTCTCAGATTTTTCTGAAATAGAGGTTTGTTTTGGATATCTGAAGCACTTGAAAGTTTGATACAAATATTGTGCGATGTTCAGTGAAATGCTGAAAGCGTTTTAACAGGGCTTTATAGACTTTTTTTGACAGGCCATGGGTTTCTAATAAAATACCTACTAGTAAATAATAAACAATTAAAAAAAAGGGCATCTGAAATCAAACTGATGCTATTTTCATAATATTTCTAAACAATTAAATTATAATTTAGTTCCAAGTGTCAAGTGTTATTTTCATGTCTTGTTGTTGATTGCTCACGCATATGAAATACATAAATATATACTTACCATATCATAAATATTAATAACCACAGCTTCTCCACCCATTTTTATGTCAGACACCGGTTCAACACGCTGCTAAGAATTCTAAATAAATATGACAAAGCTGCCGCAGCGTCAATACAGTTCATTTGTTTTCCTTCCCAAATCTCTTCCGACTTCTAGATCTAGGTAACATTTGACATTTTCCGTGAGTTTAACAGTACTTGCAGAGCTCTATCAGATAATCGCCAGAGTTTTTACAACACTCTCCAACTTAAAATTCAATATCGAAATGACAGCTTTTTTTGTGTGAAATATTTTCCCAGATTTGTAACAAACGTCACCATTATTCGAGATCTTGCCACTAATAGATGGCAGCAAAATCTACGTTTACCAAGACAAGACAAATTGACAACCAACAGTAACAACAACTTTCATGACGTAGTACGCGTGTTGATGATAATGGCTTCGATATGCAGGGCACTGCACATCCTCAAGCATTATAGATGTGCAGAAACATGGTCATTTCGATCCACGAGCGTGATTGCTACAAAAAGAGTAAGATATAACCTTGAATTAGGGGATTTGGTTTGCGTTATGGGCAAAGCAAAAATGGGCAAAGCAAAAATAAATGCAACAGAAGACTCGCTATAAATAGTAAATGCACACCAAAATTATTGCAATCTGGTAAACTAGTACATGTATCATCGCCGTTTTATCGGGGCATTCAATATCAGGCAATACATATTGGCAGCCACGCTAAGTTTTATGGGCACATTTGAAATGAAGAAACCCGAGATTCGTCTTTCCTCTGTGCATGTATTTATTTTAAGTTTACTTCTTATTTTTACACATATTATTATAAGTGTTAGCTGTACTTCTTAGTTTTTTCACGAAAAGACGAAATCTCAAGGCTTGCCTAGCAACCAATCAGACCAGGGTATCACCAAATACCAAAATACCACTCACAGTAATAGCACTGCTTGATGATGGCATTCTTATAGCACAAAACTTGTGCCTTAGCACTCCTATTGATGATTCTGATATGTACTGGACGTGCAAATGCATGAATACAAAGTCATTTAAAATTAAATGAATACCAGTTTGTACACCCGCAATGGATGCCTGCAGTGGATGCTCAAATTTGGTAAACCTGATCAACCAAACGTAATCAACCAAATGATATTGTAATGATGAGGGTTAAAAAAAAAACTTGTCAGAACTGGCCAAAAAAACAACCTTGGGATTCTAGCAGTGTAAATGAATTGTTTGTCAGTAAAGCATAGATCCAAGTTTTCACATATCATTTTGGCAGTCTAAAATTTATATGCAAAGATACTGAATTTGGTCTTTGCATGACATGATGCAGTCAAATTACCCTTTTTAGGTTCTACATAAAAAGGTCAAAATGGAAAAAGCATCATCGCCAATATTTAATTAAATTTGGATTCTTGCAGCAGTGATGATGTAATTGCAGCTGTACTACTTTGCATTATACTAAAAAAGTTGCTACATGAAATTAACCCTATAGTTAGCAGTTAAAGTGTATAGTATGATGACCTTCACATTATTTTCAGTGGAAAACATCATCAGTTCCGCCAAAGCATACAGCTCCCATTAAACAGAGCTACATTGAGGACAGGCCACAGTTTCCTGGTTCTAAAACAAGAAGCTGGAGTGAAAAGCTCGAATTTACACAACCTGACATCTATGATGGGATTCCAGTGTATAGGGTGATGAACAGAGAGGGCAAGATTCTCGACCAGAGCCAAGATCCACAGGTGAATTAAAAAGAAAAAAAGACCATGATTATGGTTCACACCAATATGATTTTATGTTTTAAAAGTGTGCATTTTGTATAAAATATAATAGGATTATAATTGTGTTGACATTTTGTGGACAGANCTATGATGGGATTCCAGTGTATAGGGTGATGAACAGAGAGGGCAAGATTCTCGACCAGAGCCAAGATCCACAGGTGAATTAAAAAGAAAAAAGACCATGATTATGGTTCACACCAATATGATTTTTTGTTTTAAAAGTGTGCATTTTGTATAAAATATAATAGGATTATAATGGTGTTGACATTTTGTGGACAGTCACAATGTGTCTGGACATATAACCCTCACCTGCATCTGTTTTTGCTGTAGGTATCCTGTTGGTGGTGCTGTTGGTGTCACCTTGCACTTTTCTGGGTTTTATTTATTTATTTATTTATTTATTTATTTATTTATTTTGATAGTAAACACAATGAAAGGAAAACCATGTGACTTTTAATGATAAACAAGGACTGAAAGGAAGCTTGATTTTGAGTAGAAACCTGCTTGACTCTAAGGCATATGAAGTGTTTTGCAAATTTTTCATTTTTCACAAATTTAGATTTCCCAAATGTGACTTTGAAATCCTGAGGAGCTGAAGCTCTGTCCTTGTTGCAGGGGTAGAGGAATCCTCTGGTCCCTGAACATATGGGACCCTGGTCCCATATTGAGTTGATGTCCAGTGAAAAAGAGTAATGAATGTGTTAGACCCATGTCCACTCCTAAATAACTCTGGCAAAAGTACATAAAAGATAAAGCTTCCCTAGACCACCCACTCTCAGTTTATCAATTATATTCATATGCAGTGCAGTGCTATATACCAGTAAATGATGATCTTCCAATAATTTTCATATAAGAAATGGATTCAATACATCCTTCTTTTTCTATGTTTAAAAAATGTAATTATGTGGTGACTTTGTTTCTGTTATTTTAATATGATATTGAATATGATATACTTTACTAACTGATTTTTCTGTGTTTTTACAAAACAATCAGAAATAATGAGAGCTGATGTATTAGAGTGATGTAATGTCATTGATCAGTGAGGTTGAAAGTTTCTTGTTAAAGCAGTGATAAATTATTATAGTGTAGTAGCAGAGACGGTGATAAAAATCATCACATATCTGTAATTAGAAAAACATTGATAAGCATAGCAAGAGAAACAGGACATATAATGGAAGCCTTATTTATAATGAGAATGAATGAGAATTTTTTTGAAATGTAATAAAATGTTTCCTTGATGAATAAATTTGGAAGAAAATCATAAACTTATGATTCACCCTTTTTAAATGAAATGAATATATATTTATTACAGCTGAGCCAGGAGATGGTAACAAATATGTACAGGAAAATGACTTTGTTAAACACCATGGACAGAGTTTTATATGAATCCCAGCGGCAAGGTAGAATTTCATTTTACATGACAAACTTTGGAGAAGAAGCTACACATATTGGGTCAGCAGCAGCTCTGAATGACAAAGACCTTGTGTTTGGACAGTACAGGGAAGCAGGTAAGTGAAATAAATTGTATATAGGAGCCCAAATAACTCCACCGGATAGTAATATAGTAATATGGAAAGAAAGTTCAATTTATATGGATCCACAGAATACCTGTGTTTGATGACTTTTCTTCACAAAAAATCCCAGAAGCAACAACAACTGGTAGACTTTGTGACTGCCCCATCACAGCCACCTCCTCCTCAGATGTAGTCAAGTCAGCAGAGCAGCTGGACAAAACATACATCAAGTGGAGATATTCAGTGGATTTATACAAAATGAACTTTCAGTAAATCGGACTTACTGAAAGTGAAAGTTTTAAATAAAACGGCTTTGTGAAATACAAGTATAGTATGATTTACATTCATTTAGATTTTTTGGAAGTATTTTTTAGGGGGAGGGAGGGGTTGTTAGAATATTTGCTTTTTGAAAAAAATATAATAGAAAAACAATTTTAGTTGTAAGAATTGAAAAATTTTTGCTGCAAAGATGTTAATTTTATTAAACGTATGTATTCTTTTTTTTTTTTTTTAGAAATAGACCAGTTTTGAGTTTTTATATACATACACTCAGTGTTTGTATATATTCTGATTACCTGTATCTATCAGTGTGGTCACTGTCACTGTCTGACACATTTGTAAACAATATAACTGCCAAACTATTTTTATGTTTCAGTAAATTTTAATTTCAATAATTTTAATTACATTAAATCTTGTGGTGCCATGTCACACTTCTCTGTCTGTGCCAGAAGTTTTCCATCATAGACTGGATTCTGCTGGTTTTGGCAGGCAAAAAGGCCACCTGCTGGATTAGTGATTTGTTGTTGATATCTCTCACAGAAACCATTTAACAAGCAATCTACTTGCTATTCGGGCCATTTTGTATGTTACTGGGAAAACCTGCACTGATTCTGTAGATAAAGAGTTCATTTGTAATTCAAGTAGAGTGCTTTGGAAACTTGTTGATCATCAGGTGCTGTCCAAAAATAAAATAAATAAAAAAAAAATTAAATGAATACAAACTGTGACTAAAGGTATAATTAACTAGCATGTAACAAATTATAAATTAAATTAAAAATCCTTACTTTGTATACTCCTGTTTATTAACACTGCACTAGATGTTTACTGTCGGTTTTCACCTGTCTGTCTGTCACATCTGTATTCACCTCTGTGCGCTATGTACATTGCGTATCTTACACTTCCAATGCATTAACATTGTAGGTTTACTACTGTATATGCAGCAGGATTCCATTGCATAAACAAGGAAAGCACTCAGAGAGTGCAGACTCCCCCCCCCCCCCCCCCCCTCAATGCTGCTGCGTTCTCATTAATATTAATGATTTTTCATTTACTTAGCTAATTGAGTACTCATTATTATTATTATTAGTATTAGTGAGCTACTTAATTGGCTGAATTGTAATTGCTAATTAATCACTCCAAAATCTAGCTTTGGTTGAGGGTCCAACCCAATCCCTTGGAATTAGTTTTTTTTCTGTTGAGTGTCTGTATATTTGCCTACTTCACTGTTTAGTTCATGAAGATTGTTGTTATTTATCAAATGATTACTTTGTATATTTTTTGTGAAATGAATACTTACTTTTTTTGTGGAGTGATTATTTTAGTATTCTTGTAAAATAAATCTTTCATGAGTACTTCCAGAAATAATCTCCATCTTTAAAGTGGCCGGCATGTACATAACTTGAATATTTGAAGGATAGATCTTGCTGAATAACTTTTGGTTCATCCTTAACAGGGGTTTTATTGTGGCGAGGCTTCTCCCTGTACAATTGTATGTCTCAGTGCTACGGCAATGTAGACGATGCAGCTCATGGACGGCAGATGCCAGTGCACTATGGCTCAAGAGAGTTTAACTTTGTCACTATATCCTCTCCACTAGGGACGCAACTTCCCCAAGGTTAAGAAGTTTGACATTTTTTTGTTGTTGTTGTTGTTTTTTATGCTTCTTAGTGCTTTAACACGCCAACCCAGAAATAAGCACACATTATTCCATGCTGCTTTGATAACCAGTGATTGCAAGGACAAGAAACGCTTTTTTTATTTTCTTATTGTTATATTTCAGGGATCTGCTTGCTTTGCCTTTCTTTTGGTGGTGCTTAAAGGTATACTATCAGCATTTTAAAATGTGATATTTTCGATGTCTACAAATCCTTCACAACTACTTATCTTTTCCCTATTCAGACTATACTAATGATAAAAACCCATCAAGTAAAAGTACTTGGTAATGATATTTCCTTCTGAAATGTATGACTTGGTGGTCATTAAGAACTAAATTGTTTGATTAAAAATGATATAAAAATCTAATTGCAGGGACAGTTCCCATTGTTATATGAGGAAGAGAAAAAATTTTGAGGAAAATTTAATTTGGTGGGAAAATCTTGGATACCTTTAAGCTTACACGACCAGTCGGACTTATAATCATGATGGCTTTTCTCTGGGCTTACCCTGCTCATTGAAAATACAATGTAATTCAGGCAGTAATTTTAAGCTACTAAACAAATTACTATTTTAGGCTGACCCCAGATTCACCAGTTTCATTCATTGTCTTTTGACAATGTTTTGACATCTATAATTTTTGTTTTATTTATTGGTTTATTTCTGTGTATGTATTTATTTGGACCAAACACAATTCCTGGTAGTTTGCATATTTGTTTCCACCAAGGGGTGCTGATGTGGAGGGGGTTCCACTTGGAGCAGTTCATGGACCAGTGTTATGCTAATATAGGAGATAGTGCAAAGGGACGACAGATGCCAGTGCACTATGGCTCAAAAGATCTCCATTTTGTTACCATTTCCTCCACATTAGCTACTCAGATGTGCCAGGGTAAGCTTTGCAATGATCAATATTATCAATTCCAACTGATTTACCCCATTTGTGTTTGGTTTGAATTTTAGATGCCAAATTTTACAAATATATATTTTTTCTTTTTTCTTTCTTTCTTTCTTTTTTTTTTTAACTTTTGAAAAGAAATAAGTGCAAATCTTTGCTTAATCTTGATAACTACAATTTGACCTTGATTATGTACTATTGATTATGCTTCTCATTGCTTAATGTGCTCATTATATATACACTTTTGCATGGGTCAATTATAGTAAGGCATCGGTAGTTCTATTACTAAATTGGTTGTAATGATTTGTATCTCTTGTGCACATTAGAAGCACTGTTCATTTCATTCTTGCTATCATTATATACAGACATTGTTAGTGCCTGTATTTATTCTAATTATCAGTGTCTGTTCTGTGTTGTGACCATATATAGTTGTTTGAAAGTATAGATTTTTATTTAATTTACTAGTAGTCACACAAAAATGTCTTTAAAACATTTAATACAATGACTGTATTAAGAATGTCTGGAATTTCCTTCACAATTTTCTTGCAGAAGAATGTTGAAAGTTCAGATATTGTCAAGGGCAAATTTAACTACTAAGTTTAGCAAACATAAGCTACCCATCTTGCCTATGTGTCATTGAATCTGTATCTTTTAATTCCTTTGTTTAATGTCTGTATGTGTGCCATCTTTGATGTGCATTTCTCATGTAAATGGATTTATTGCTTTCATTCATTCTTTGACATTTACAAAGTGTTCTTTCTTATAGAGCAGCAATAATGTCAAAGTGTTGATGGATGCAAGATGATGCACAGTGCTTGCTACCCCATTCTTATCTCAGATTACTTTTTACACTACCATCAGGGGCGGATCCAGAGCTTTTTCCTGACAGTCTTCCAAATTATCTTTGTTGATCCACCCTCCATTTTTGACCGTCTTCCGACAGAAAAAATGAGATACCTGTCAATGGAAACTTGAAAATCTGACCATCTTCTGAAAGACCCAGAAGACGGCCTCAGTCCGCCCCTGATCATTGTGTTGTGCACTTTTAAATTTTCAAAATACATAAGCATTACTGTAGAGAATTGAATTAGATGATTGTGTTTTAAGAAGGCTGAATATTTAATGCATTAATTTGATATTAATACAATGTTTCTTTGCAAATATCTGAATATATATATATATATGTTTTACTTGTACATGTTACAGATTTATATGCAAAGTCAGTATATTTTTGTATGTTTTTCGTTACATAGCTTCTGGAGCAGCATACTCATTTAAGCGCGCACAGAATGGACTTTGTGTTATGTGCTATTTTGGTGAGGGAGCAGCCTCAGAGGGAGATGCACATGCTGCCTTAAACTTTGCTGCCACCCTGGATTGCCCTGTGCTGTTCTTTTGGTAAGCCATATGAAGGTGCACAGCATCATACAATTTAAACTTGCACCTATGTATATGGTATATTTTGAAATGATTGACTATTTATTTATGTCAACACTTATATAGGCTCAAGATTTTGATCAGCTGCTGATGATGTTTTCCAAAATGTGTAACTTTGAGTTGAAATATGTATGGTCAAATTGCAGGTCATGTTTGAAAATCAGTAAAATCAAGCAGTATTTTATTATTTTTCAAAATAGTTGCAACCTGCCCCCATGTCCTGACCTATTATGCTTCAATATGATCCTAATCTTCTCTAACACAATAAATTGAGATTTGTTTTAGAAGGAAGCCATTTGTAATTCCTGAAGTTTAGTTCCAGCAGTGTGCAGTTATCAAAATTGCATCAGCTTCAATTTTGTTCACAGTCTGTATATTTGCCAACTTTCTGTTTTGTTTAACAAAAACCTTTTTTGTCAATACCCGCCATAAAAAGGAAGAACTTGTGGTTGGAATGATATCTTGCCCCTATTTGATAATGAAGAACAGGCATGTTTCAGAAAAAAATAGCTTTTGTTTAATAAAAGGTCTGTTTAGTTTAAAAGGAAAAGCTAATGACTTGCACTTAAAACAATAACATTTGTTATACAAAATTCACAAAATAAAACCTCTCAAATTTTCCTCTTCTAAGTCACATTTTTGCTAATAAATCATGTCTTGGCACTATGTGTTTTAAGATTAATTTATTTTGATATCTGCAGTTTTTAAGTTGAATTTTTATGGGTAAGTAAATTTTCTTTGATAAGTTAGAGCTGTATTGGATCCTTGGTTAGAGTCAGACATTTGTGTTGTTTTGGCAACTAAGTCACCACACCTGCATATATATCTTTTGTTTTACAGTCGTAATAATGGTTATGCTATTTCTACACCAACAAAAGATCAGTACAGAGGGGATGGTATAGGTGAGTAATACAGATGGTATGTGTAGCGTCAACATTTTTATACCATGAGTGGTGCCTAGACTGGACGTGGCACTCTTGCTCTAATGAATACCTGTTTCTTTCTCAAGGCAATATGTGAGCCTATACTTACTAGCACTTCATGTGAAACATAAGTTAAAGTTGGACTTCCCCGTGCAATGTCAGTTGTACATTGAAATGATTTTTGCCAAGGGAAACAAAATGAGAAAATATTTTTAAAGATAAAAAACCCAGATAATAATATGTTGTCTTATATAAATGGATAAGCCACAGTTTTTAAAGGGATAATAACTTCGTTTCTGCCAAAAAATGAATTTTCCTAGAGTAAACATCAATTTTCCCATACTTACCAATGGTTAATGAATCCATTTTTACATTCAAAGTTGGTCCCTGGTTTTTTCTAAAAAGTTTGGTTTTTTGTTAAAATCTCTTAAGAGATTATAACAGAGTATAGCCATGAATGGAGGTCACGTGGTCTAAAGACGAGCTCAGATATCAGAATAATAGCTATAACTGCCGTTCTTGTGGTAAAACAGAATATATTATATTTCTGTGAGTTATTCACAATGTTTTATTGTGAAATATAGATCTCATACGAAGAGTTATTATCCCTTTAACTATTTGGAACTGATAGTTAGACATTTAAGTGCATTGGTTATGAATCTTAATTGCTTGGGGAGAAATCTCAATTGACACCTTATCTGGGCAGATTGCCAATTTCCTTAAATTGAATCTCACCATTGGCATATGAATTGCTCTTACATGGAAATTTGAACATGAAAAACATAAAATATGTGTTATTGAAGTTTAAAAATGTAATATCTTGTTTATATTATTTTGATATATTTATTTTATTTATTTATTTTTTTTTTCAAGATTCAGCCAGTTTTAGTTGTTCCCTGTTTTGAAAAAAATCAGTCATTATTACTGTAGTAAGAATTTCAATTTCAATCAAAATCTGTAAAAATGGGTTGAACATTTGTTTTTCTGAATATTGAAATTTTCCATGTGAATTCAAATTTTATCCAAAAGTACATGTCCTGATTTTTTTCTTTATTTCAGATTTATCAGTTTTTGTTACATACTTTGTGACTAAAAGTTGACTCATTTTATAGAAGTTTTTGAATTGTCTTTTTAGCTATTATCAATAAAACATAGTGTTATGAACATAGTATAATATCAGATTTCTTCAAATGAAGCACGTGTTGAAGGTTAACTGGTACATTTCAGCGGCACGTGGCCCAGGCTATGGTATGGCAGCTGTTAGAGTCGATGGTAATGATGTTTTTGCAATGTATAATGTCACAAAGGAAGCAAGAAAATTAGCAGTTGAGGGAAGCAGACCTATACTTATAGAGGCCATGACTTATAGGTGAAAACCTTTTTTGTGCTATGTGGAAAATTGAACAACAAAATAAATGAATGAAAGTAGAAGTTGCTTGATTCAAGTAATGATTACATAATTTTGTGAAATACTCTTAACATAAGTATGCAGTTGTAATAAAACCTTTTGTTGTATATGAATTTCTATTTTGCTAATAATGGTTCAGATTTTGAGAATTATAAATGAGAGAGAATGAAGAATCCACTGTACATGTATGACACAGAAATTGTTAAAGAAAATTATTTTGGACAGATTAATATATATATGTATAAACTGCCACCTTTTAGGTTGGGTCATCACAGCACCTCGGATGACAGCACAGTGTACAGGTCAGTAGATGAGGTCAACTACTGGGACAAGCAGGACCACCCCATATCCAGACTACGCTACTACATGGTCAACAAGGGCTGGTGGAATGATGACATGGAGAAGGAATGGATGAAAGAATCAAGAAAACAGGTAAAAATGTTCTTTCTAAGTAATTCAACCAAATTAATGTTCACTTTATAACTTGATTTTTTTTTGTCAGTGATTTATCTATTCTATTAGAATAAAAATTAAAAATATACAAAATTTGTGCCTGTTGATCATTATATAGCTAAAATCATTTGTAAAACCAAAAATTATATTCCAGTGGCTCTGGGTGTGAATATGTCATAAGTTCATTTATGTTAAAACAGTTTTATCAGTTTGGTGGATGATATTAGTAGAATAGATTCTTGTCTATAACTAATTAAAAAATTGAATCACTCACATGAAATATTTCAATGGACCATTGGCCATCTTCATCAGTCTCCCTCTAGTAATTAGTAATTGGTTTGTGACAAAAAAGTATTGTCTAGTACTGTCATAAAATTCATACCTTTGATTTATATAAGATTCCCTGACTGTAAACATCTTATTTGCAGGTAATGGAAGCGTTTCAAAAGGCAGAGAAGAAGAAAAAACCTAACCCAGAGCTCATGTTTAGTGACGTGTATGATGAGGTGCCCTTGCACTTAAAAAGACAAATGGAAGAAATGAAGGGACATGTTTCTAAATACAGAGAATACTATCCATTGGATAACTTCGAAAAATGGGACTCATGAGAAGGGCAAGTAACTCTCCACTGACTGTAATGGGGAAAAAGATGAAATGCATAAGATGCAAATTATTTGTATCAAAATAATGGGAAATTTGTGATAGCAATTCATCACATATATTAACAAGTCATGTTCAAAACATTTCAACTTCATGAATTGTGTAAGCATTGAGACTTGTATTGAAAATGGATGTATTGTTTTGATTGAAGGGAGATGAAATTGACATAGGGCATGAGGGAAAAAAAAGAGGCCACATCATTGTATGTATTTATTTATTTATAATCTTTTAAAGTATGGTGAAGGCAAAAGATACATGTGACATGTGTGAAATGTGTGGCCACTTCATATCTAAAAGTGGGACATCTGAAACAAGGGCACTTTGACAGTAGCTTAAACTACTGCTGCATTTTTTTTTTTTTCAAATTTATACTTATACCAGGTATCTAATGACAAAAAAAAATTGTCGGTGAGATAAAAGTGAATTTTTTGATTAAGTGTTTTAGCACATGACTTGTACATGTAAAATGGAGATTAAGGCCAAGCAGACGGGGATGTGGCTGAGCTTAAGAGGTAGCATTTGAGACTGTGAATAAAACTGAAGATATTGCTTATTTATGTAAAAAGCATTTGTTATAAATAAAACTCGAAAAAAAGCTGTTTGTCAAATGTAGTCATTTATAATGGCTCAAACCTATTCTAGAGAGCTACATGTACATTAAGCAAGTTGTGAGGAGTTATCAGCATTATTTGTTATTTTTGTCTGATAAAATTGTCGAACTAACTTCATCCACAAACTTTGAACATCATTTTTGCTCATGTGATTTAATTAAAACATAATAGATGGGAGATGTAGTTGACTTAACTGTATGCAGGAATTTTCAGGTTCAGGAGTTATACTTAATACACATATTGCTGTGCTTGGTTGTACATGTTCCTGTGAACACCAGTATCTGAGGCACCACAATAACTTTCAGCTGTGGATGACCCCTGTAGAAGGACATGGGGTCAGCATTTTAAATAAGAAACAATAAAGCATATTTCTAATGATAATATCATGACATGTTGATCCGTGCTTTCTTTCTCCAGACTTACTGGTTTTTTGTTATAACATATGTTTTTATTTAAAAAGTTGGTTAATGGGGCAGTTCTTGATCATGTTAAAATTTCAAATCCAAGCACCCATTTGTTGATTTTTTGAACCTACAAAATTGTATGTTAGGCCATCATATTCAGTAAATTATTGCACTGGCATTTTGAATATTGCATGTGGTGTTACTGAGCTATAGTAATAAACAGTAATAAAATGTTTTTGTTTCTCAAATGTTTGGTTTATTTTTGTACACTCTTTTCCTAATATATGCAAGCAAGGCAATAAATTTTGGCAATTTGATTTTATTATCGCTTTACAAAGTAGCAGTTTCTACACAAGCAGCAATTTGTACACATATCATAACTATCACGGGTTTTCTCCCACTTATTCTTAGAATTAGTCTGAATTACTTCATTCGAAAAAATATCATGCATGCTAATTTTTATAACAGCTTGGCAACTTTTTGAGTTAGCAAAGATATATTTGTGCAATTGGATGGAGTATTTGTGAAGAAAAAAATTAAAGATAATTACCTCCATCTTTCAACTAAATCTGATATGTGTTTTAAGAGTGCATATATGTTTTTTTTTAAAAAGTGTAAAACAAATCCTCATTAAAACTTCTAGTCACTTTGTGGGTAGTGTCAAGTACATATCAGAAATTAAAAACCACATGGTAAGTAGAATTTTCTTTTATGTAAATGATTTTAATGTCATAATTATTTGATATTGTCTCTAGGCAAGTGAAAAATGTTTACAAGTCAGAAGATTTTCAATTTTTTGAAAATATGGGAAACATTAAGATTAAAAACACTTGAAAGGTATAGTTCTAGTTACTGGCATCTCAGAGGAGTTTAAATTTAGCTGGTTCTTTTTGTTTGTTAAGTGAGGATTAGTTTGTAGACTAGGTTGTGTTTCGATCCTCATGGGCCACCATACTTTGTGAGTCTCACAGTTAGGCAAATGCATTGGTAATAATTGATGCTTTTTAGTATTTAAATGTCGACTTAAAAAGAATCCTACTAAAGGTGAATGTAGAAATTTTTGAATCATGACCATATCAAATAATTTAACTTGCACATAGACTTTCATATTACTAATTTTGTAGCAGATTATTTCAGATCACCATTTCATTTTGATTGACAGGTGTTTCTACCAATAAGAAAGCAGTTTCCACAAAGGCGTCAAACCTGGGATCTAAGTGGTCATATCATGCATAATCTTGAATAAATGACAGAATCACTTGAGAAGTAGAGAGGTAAAATTTCATTAAAGTGTCAAATATTGACATACTGATGTTGATGTCATATTTCCTTATCTGAATTAAGCTCTCGTGGGAAGTATTAAGATCTACTATAAATAGTTGTAGGTATGATCATTGTGCACAAGCTATTTTGAACAATTATCTGAATGTTTTATGTGCAAGTAAGGATTAAGCCCTAAGTTTGATTTTGCTGTTTAAAGAATGGAGTGGTCAATCTGAAACAACATTCATTGACTGAATCATGATTTTCCGGTGCATTTATTTGTAGAGAGCCCATGGATACATCGGCCAACGCCTGAGGTGGGGGACATTTAAACCAAGTCCACTGTTGTCCTATCTTTGTGAGTGACACTTTACCAAGCTGGTCAAATACAAGAAGACTGAAAAGAGATAGAACACGAGATAAGCTACAGGTAAACCATGGTGATTGATCAGAAAATTGCCAAAGTTGAGAATTATTGAATTAATGGATGCATGGGCAGTGAATGATAAATGAGAGTGAGGATGTGAGTTTATAAGGAGTTTTACTGAACAAAATGTTTTTATTAGGTTATCTAAAAGGTAGTCTTCCTCTTGTTTTTATTTGATCACAACTTCATCATAGTCCTAAAATGGTAAAATAATACGCTCATAGTGTGATACAATTTCAAGATTGCCCAAACAGTTACTATTCTTTGTTAAGTAAAGGTCTGCTAAAGCATTCTACATTCACAGAGAATACCATTTGCTTGTATTGAAAGAAACAACACACCAAGTATTGTTTTTTGCTGATCTGTTGTTTTTATGTTACTGGCGATTTATCATTTATCATTGTGGTTTTATTTATAAGCAATCATTGCACAATCCAAGATTAATTACTATTCAATCACTGGATATTGTGTTCAGTTCACAATGAATACATACAGATATGGTTACTGAGTATTGATTTAGGTACTTCCAATAGTTTTTGTATCAAATAATTAACAATGATAGATGCCACAAAAACTTTGTGTCTGATATAATTATGAAATGATAGAAAAAATACATCTGACCTTTACATTTTTTTTTAAATAAAGTAGTCAGATAAGAAAATTTGAACAGATTTGACAGATATATTTCATGAAGGCATATTTTGACCGTATTGTATTTCCTGGAATCAACTCTAGCTGATTCAGAATGGAATACAATATAAATTGTATATAGACACTGAATGCAGTAAGTTGTCTCTAACCTAGCTAATAATTTGTGTAGAATAAGAACAAGATTGTTGTTTCAAAAATCAGCAAAGCAAACTTGTGTAACTTTCCTAAATGTTGCAGTCGGTTGAGGGCATGTAAGTAAAAGATGAAAGGTTGCATTGCATTCTAACACGTCCTTAAAAAAATCTCACTAAGGGGTAACTTGGTATAATATACAAGTGATTCTAGAAATAGCCTTGGCACCAAAGTTTGTAGAGAGCCCTCTCTACAAAACTCTGTATCAAATTGGAGCATCACCTGGGGGTGGGCTTGATTGCATTCAGTTAGTTCCTACTATCACTCTTGGCCACTAAAAATTATAAGAATTTAATTATCTCTTGAATTCCCGTAAGTGGTTCCAATGAATTTGGACGGATATTGCCAGTGTCAAACGTAATGCCTTCGGACATGTCTCCACACTGAGACCAGAAATTAAATGTTCATGACATTTCAAATTGACTCCCCCTTGACCAGTAAAACCTTACAAGAAAATTGCATGGAAGTCTTGAAGGCATGTTCATGACCAGATTGACGTAGACCAGAAAAAAACTGCATGTTACTATGGATCTTTCATGTGTATCTTGTGATGTTAGTAAGTATTTTTCATGTCAAAGTAAGTTTGGTTGTAAACCTGCCTAAATAACTGTAATGTGTTTTATATGGAATGTCAAGCCAAGCACAACACACGCTATACCAATTATAATTCTATTAACCTTACAATGTGTCTCTAATATTTTAATTTCCTCCCAAATTAGAAGCATGTTCAACACTGCGGTATCATGGACCAGCTGTCAGTGAATGGTGAATGAAGTTGTTTTTACTTGCAAATCTGGCAAATGTCAAGCCAGATAAGTTATTACTGCTGGTGTCAAAAGGTATTGATCAACAGTCTGACATACAGGTGGCATGACGAAAGGCTTCAATCAATTCAGTGAGAGAAAAAGAATGAAATATGTTGCAGTTAGCTGTAACAGTTGTCAATAATGTAACAACACAACTAAATAAGGCCTCCTCAAATCACTGAGAGAAAGAGAGATTGAAATATATTGCCTTTATCTTTGGTCAATGATATATTAGCTCAACTAAATATGTTATACAGTTTTTTTGAATCAGAAATAGAAAGTTGAAAAAGATTGCATCCAACTTTGAGACAAGGAAAGAAAAAAGCTGTCAAATTTAGATGTATATTAAATGTGCAAGAGGTAACCCTTAGACTGCATTCCCATAAATTTAGATCAATCCATCTTGATCAACCTAACTCCCTGGGGGTCCACGCTAAATTGCTGTCAGCCGAGCGTGCACGGTAATTTATTACCCCCTTACAGCTTTAAGGAGGTGGGACAGACATTTAAGCTGGCTAAGCTGACAGTAATCTAGTGAGACTCCCCACAGGGATAGAGCGATCTAAAATCTGTGGGAATGGGGTCTTAGACCGGCCAAATTTGTATTAAAAACCCAGGAAACCTGTGGCCCAAAACTTTTTTTTTTTCAAATCCACAACTTATTTATTTCTTTTATTTTTATTTATTTATTTTATTTTTTGGTGGAGTGCTTTCTGTAAGCCTGCTTCACCTACACAGGAAAGTTTACAAAAGGCCGCTTGAATGACATCAGTGCCAGTTAGATGTGATTGTGTCAAGCCAGTCCCAGGAACACTACATTTCTTCCACATAAACTACTGACTTTATATCAAAAATACAATGGTTATTTACAAAGCTGATTATAACAGTTGCATTTTGTCACAATTTGGACATAATACTGTCATGACTATAAAAAGTGGGCTATTAAGATAAATCAAGCTCATACCATTTTTATTTTTCATGGGTCACATCTAATTCATGATTTCTAAACATGCCATTTAGGCTGAGGGTTTGTGAAAAATTGCATATCCAAGTATCCATTACTACTACAGTATGTATCAATTTTGCTGTCACAATGAATCACTTTGTATTAATTTCCCTGTTGCATTCTGTATCCATGCATAGCTTGATATGATATTTAGTCTGCAGTCTGAATTTCTAGTCATTTTGGAAAGATGTTTATGAAGGTACAGCTATGGTAGCTGCATGTGAGATATTGAACACTGCAAAAAGACCACCAATAAATCAACAAAAGGTAAATTGCATCCTTGAAAGCTGTGAAAGCTGTTAGGTGTCCTGTGTGTGTGAAGGCGCATGTTCACTAACAGACTGATCCAGGACTGAATTTGGTAGAAGCGGGACAAAAATTTTATGTGAAATATAATGAACATATTTAACAACTCTTCAAGCAATCAGACACATCAAAGTTGTAAAAAGCCATTTAAAATACCTCTATGGGCCCAGAATTTTCCATTGATGAGAATGCTGACATAATTATAGATGCCATGCCCCCAAACTTATTTGAAAAAAGTTAAATTTACTTTGATCTTAAAGATTGCATTACAGTATAGTTATCTTGCAAAATGATTTATGATTGGCAAATATTATCCAGCTAATTGCTGACAATATTAGAGGCTAATATTGTTTCCTGCATTCTTTAGTCTTGAATTACATATATTGTAAAGTAAGCAATCTGCGAATGTTGTAGATAATTAATTGATATAAGTTAAATCCAACTGTTTTGCTACACATGCAAAACCTTCTTAAGCTTGTTCATATTTATCTGTAAAATCAAAGGTGATCTACAGTTAACATTAAATGGATGTTATGTCTTGTCATAATTTGGGACAAAATGTCCTGAGGAGACTCAGAGATTGTGCAATTACTTATTTGCATGTTATCCATCATTAAATGGAGAAGCATTTTCCAAAAGGTTAAATGCTAAAACCATTAGAGAGATAATAAGAGCAGAGATGTAAGACTGTCCATTAGTGGATGCCAGAAAAATTATGAAAATAGGGTACACTTAGATTGTGCATGACCTTTAAATGAAACTGTCAGTTCTGATGTTGTCATTGTCTGAAAATTTTTGAAATAAAACCATTCTGCATTGAAAATGTGTCACCATGCTGGCAGATAGAATAAATTTGTCAGGGGAGCAGTGTGTAATTTTTCTAAGTGGTCCTAACCTGTGCATGTGACATTGACTGGAAGCAATGTATAAATGCTGTCAGAATTTATCCATGGATATTATTTGTGCTGTTCTCTCTTAAAGGTACAATTGAACCAAGCGTCAGTGGAGCATGGATTCCCAATAATGCATATAAACCACTTCTATTTGTTTCTTATACGACTCAAATAGAGACAATTAACATGCCAAAGGATAAACCCAAATTAATCATTTGATCAGTCTTAGAAGAACTTTATACTGTACCTTCTTCTCACTTTTGGTCCTAAATTTGACCTACTTATCTGATCTCCTTATCTGTCCCGTTTATATACAGCACTGAAATCAAGTAGTAAAATCCACTTAAATATCATTTTTCTGGTAATATGAAATTATTTCTTTTGGTTTTTCTCTAAGTTATACTTTTTGAAACTATATAGTGGCATTTGATCAGCTTTTGCAGCAAAAAATTTGACTTCAAGTGCATCTTTAAAGAGATGACAACTCTTTATATAAGATTCAAAATTCCATAATAAATACCTTGTAAACAAAACATGTAAATATAGTAAATTCCATTTTAACACCATACTGGTGGTTATCACTGTGACAATTATTCTGAAGCCTGTGTTTGGCATTGGACCATGTGGACCTTCATAAATGGCTACCCTCTGTAATCTCTTAAGGGTATTTATTATTACCTGGATACCAAAAATGAGTTTTTTTCCTGCGTCTAATTACTCATCTATCTTTGTGATGATTTAAAACAATAAGAAAAACCCTTGAAAATATAAAATATAGGCATTTATATATCTCGTGGCAGTCTATAAGCATGGGCAACTTGGAGCTTTAATCATCAATTTAACACCTTTTTATTTTGAGAAGAGATAGCTATCGGTATGGGGTGTAACTTCATCCCTGAACAAGATTTTATCACAGAAATTGGCAGAGTTGACCCTGCGTGTATGGGCTACCATCCTGTGTCATCATTTTGGTTTAAATGTTCTTGTTATGGAGTTATGAGCCCCTAATTACAGATTTTTATTAAACAAAGACATTATTTTGCTTTTTCAACGATAAAATCAGAACTAAGACTTTTAAGAAAAATTGCTGGCAGGGTTTTGCAGTACTAAATGGTGTCATTAAATCAGCATTGAAATTGTGATCATGGG